CCGAAAATTTTTAAAATCGCTCGATAACCACGCCTACTTCCCATATAACTGTAATTTTCAGAAATACGAAATCATCGATAAATCATTAAATATTGAAGCTAATTTATTCAAAATTGATGCTTGCAACAATTCTTTACCAATAAATACGTTTATGGTAAAATTTTGGAAAATGGGCGTGGCACCGCCCACTTATGATCACATATAAGTATATNTGAAACTTCAATATTTCGAAATTGAAGGACGCTGATTTACTCAAAATTGATACACCTCGGCTTACCATCTAGCGGAAGGTTTCGGAAGGGTGAAAAAATATATATTTAATACTTGCGCCGGGTATTTAATGTTCGGCTCCGCCCGAACTTAGACTTTCTTACTTGTTTCTCTTGGTTTTGTTTTAGATAAAACTGTATTAAAAGATGTTATGTCTTTTTATTCTAACAACAAAATTGTATGTTCGGTTTCGATGCATTACAAATGTCCCAGATTTTCGTCCACAGAAATCTGGTTACCGTAACTATTCAGTACATACAAGACAGCACCCGATAGGTGTAGTCGTGAGAAAGCTAGAGTTTGTTGTAACTAACTTTATCAACGATTTGTGTGGTAAGTTAGAGACACTCAAACTACACCTACTCATTGCTAAAGAACAGTAGACGAGAGGCGAAAGATATGTTTGATTTTTCCGAAAACTATTATTATGTGGTTCAAGATGCATCACAATCTTTTCATTTCATTTTAGTCAAACCGATCGCTATTCCAGAAATTTAAAAGAATACTCAAAAAAAAAACTTACATATACATTTTTATGTATAACTTATGATGCTAAACAACATTTTAAAAACAGATTCCAAATTGCCAATTTAATTAGTCACAAAGCTGCTTTTGGTATTGAAGCTAAATAGAACTACAGTGCAACTAAATATGAAAAATTGCTACGACGGAAGTGAGTTGTTTGACTCTTTATTCAGCTAGGCAAAAAAAAAATACTTTAAAAATATTCAGATTTTTGCCTTTACTCAGGTTTATTACGACAAAATGTGACGAAAGCTTAACAAAAGGTTTGACTCCGCATCAACAAAACCGGGAAAACTAAAAAGCCATTCCTTTCAGATTTCCAATAAGCGAGAAGTTAAGAGATTTTCAAATTCACTCGAAGTGAAAAAATTTTATTGGGAAATGACTATTGGTTAGTACTCAACAATCCAATGTGATTCTCCAAATGGTCTTTAATATATCATTAAAATACTAAAAATATAACAGTAAAATAATTTCCACCTTTTTTATTGAAATAACACAGATAAGTTTGAATATTTTTTTTTACATTTTTACTCTTTTTTTATAATAGTTAAATAAATATCGCATTACAATAAATCACTTTAAAATTAAGAGGCTTTAATATTACCCTTTCTACTTTGACTCTTTGTTACTAATTTTTATTTACTTTTTCTCTTTGTATAGGTTATAATATAGTTGGTTTTCCACTTAATATTACATAGTTAAAATTTCATTTCTCTGATACTTTTTATGTACATTTTTACGCGTCGATTTATTCTTTCGAATGCACATGCTTTGCCAATGCTGCCACTTGTGCGGTTTTGAACATATTTTAAAAGCAGTGCTGTCATGTGTGAAGAAATTCTTTTTCTCAAGCTCATCGCAATTTTTAGTTCAAGGTTAGAGCTAAGTTGGATATCAGCTTAAGAACTATGAATTTTTCCAATATTAGTGAAATATATATATTTTTTTTTTTGGGGTTTGTTGGGTCATGGTAAATATTTTACACATTAGCAACCATTTCATCCTAGAAAACTTTGTTTGTTTAAAAACGGTTCTGACCAGAGCGCGAAGTTTGGTTGACAAAGAATGCCCCATATATATTCATGCCTGGAATACAGACTATGATCTACTCCTCGTATGAAAGGACTTTATTTTGCTCTGAAATTTTGTGGCTCCCTTCTGCTTGAACTGTAAAAAAAAACATTGTTTGTAACTGTATACATATGTAAGTATGTACGTAAGTATGTATATATATATATATTTATTTAGTAAATATGTAGCTATCTACTTACTTCTTTTTCACTTTGTTCTCGCCTCGTACGTTTTATGAATAATGCTATGTCGTGAAATTGTAATCGGTTAACTTGGATAAATTGCGCAACAGCTGCGCTGAAAACTAAAATGAAACCAACAATGGCGGTGATATTGTAAGATGCCAATCTTTTGCTACACCATTGCTGCTTACTTAGCCAAATGCAGCAGCTGCCAAGGCATCCAGTGAACTGTAATAAAAATATTTAGAAAATTACTAAAATATATAACGGTGAGACTAATTAAGCATTTTAAATTTAGGTATTTAAGCAATATTCGTTAGGTTAGAGGGATCGGTCAAACGCCACCTAGAAATTTTTTCTTTTTCTTTCAAAGGGGTACTTCAAATATTTCGCTACTATCTGTTGACTGGAGTCCCAACTGTTCACTATACAGTGGGCAGAGAACACTCAGCTGCAAGCATATGATAATCATAAAATTGTTTCTTTCCTTGAGATGGGGACCCTAAGCTCTTATTTAACAGTGTAAAAGATTTTCTTTGACAGGTCCTACACTGGTCTCAGTGTAGTTATCCGAATATAGTTTTATCACATTTTTAACACAACATACAAATTTTACATTAATAGAATAAAAAAAAATTTGTTTACCAGACTTAGGAGTTTGAGAAAATCGCAAATAAAATGAATCACCCGACTAGTAATAAACGGTTTAGTAGCGTGCTGGCAGTCCGGTGACTTTGCTGCAGTTGAGTCTGTAGCGGGAGCCATAGTCAATGTTGAACTTAAGCAACTTAACAAAAACGCTTTTGTTTTAAGTTGCATTTATAAATTTTATAAAATGTTGGAAGTGATTGTTTAGTTAAGTGAATAGCAGCACATTGTGTGAATACAAGCAATGCTGCGGTTTTTTTTTATGGGAAATTCACAAAACAACTAAACTCGCTTATCAAAGGTGTACGCGTATGTTGTATGCATGTGCTCATAATGTATGTACATACATATGGAAATATAAATATATTTACTAGCAATTACCCGGCGTGCTTCGCTGCGCCTTAAATGTATTTTTGTGTTGTAACTCTCCCCCTAAGCTCTTATGGCCTCATTTACAAAATATTTTCAAAGAACTTTATGAAGTTAGATTAAAAAAAATCGATCTATGAAGCATTGTTTATTTTTTTTTTTAGTTAATATATTTTCGAAGGTAATTAGAAAATATGTAAAGAACCGACTTTCTCTTGGAAATTTAATTTATAATCTTATAACTGGAGTCTACTATCGCACCCTTTCCTCAAACGTGTATTGATTCAATATTCAAATAACGTATATTTATATAATTTGAAAAAATCTCCCTACTATACAAATATGTACAGCAATATTAACTAATATTTTCAAATGTTGTGAGAGGGAGTAACAAAACAAAATTACTTTTAAGGCGCAGCGAAGCACGCCGGGTATTCGCTAGTGTCATATGAAATTAACTGAGCAAAGTACAATGAATAGCTGTTAAACAATGTTTCACGCACCGGCACCATCTACTTTAAATGAAACATACTTATTTTCGTGAGGGATACTCACACACCATATACTTTTCTATTGAAATTTTTCCTGAATTTTCCTAG